CCCTTGAGGGGAGGGGGGGGATGAATCAGGGCTACCATCCTGGGCCCCACACTTTGGGGGGCTCCGCAGAGCCACAGTGACTCCATGCCACCTGCTTTGCATCTGGCCACTCGTTATCCTCCCCAGCCACTGGCGCCACCACCGACGGCGGTGGTGGCTTCTTCACATCTGGGGCATGCAGGATCAGGGCTGGGGTGGTGCCCCATATGGGCTGATTTGCCTCAGGACCCACACCCTGCTTGGGTCAGCTGTGGGAGGTACGGTTACCTACCCTGGCGATCTTCAAAAAGCATCTTCACGCCCACCTTGCTGAGGTCATCTGACCCCAGCGGTCTTTTCTGCTCAAGTGCAGAGGGGCTGAACCTGATGATCTGTAAAGGTCCCTTCCAGCCCTAACGTCTACAAATCTATGTGAAAAATGACAGGTCTGGAGTGTGCATGTGGGAGGGGGCAGTGGCAGGAAATGAGAGTTGTTTGCACCATTTTCGATAAAATATGACCAAAGTTTGATATTTCATGGAGGCCAAATTTCCCATCAAGACATTGATTTAGTCTAACTCTTTGACAGGGAACACTTCTGAAGTGCGGGTGGACTCTCTGGTCACTTCTGATGAGCAAGACTGAGAAAAAATGGAAGCCTGGCTTTTCCTATGAAAAAGAGTAGATATTTGAACTCAATTCTATTTCACAAAAGCAATCAAAAGCTTCTGTTCCAATGTGGAAAGCAACCCAATTTTAAACCTTCCAAAACTGTCATGAACAAGAATTGTTCTTGTAGTGCCAACTCTGTTTAAGAGGTTGACAAGGAATACTTGACCTTGAGGGGTAAAGGTGTGCATTGAATTGCTTTGGATTGCAAGAACATTTTCAACGGCTCTGACCGTCTTTCATGACATGCCCCAGGGCTCGCTACCCACCAGCTGAGAAACGTTGCTATAATGCACCAGTTGCAGGATGGATATTCAAACTCCTCCAAGAAGAATGCCCTGGAGAAAAGTTACACTAGACTTCCAATAGATTGCCGAAGGGCCGCGTCTCCTTCAAGTAGTCCATTTCTTTCAGAATAGCTCTGCTTGATATTCAGAATCTAACTGTGAAACAATATGTCCAAAAGGCAAGTTAACCTACAGGGCATAGCTATTGTAGACTGAGACCATATGGCTTAAGTGCATAGGAAATGAGAAGCTTCAG